CTGAACCGTAGCTAATTTACTGGCACAAGCGGGAACAATGAAGAAGAGGCAGGTGTCAAAAGGTAGTGGCTTGTGGAATCCACGGGGCTTACGATATGGCCCCTCCAGGTATTACTGGGTGGAGCACTTCATGTGCCCTTTGCTTAGGGTGGAGCACGACATCTGGCCATTTTGTCCCTCTCTTTTATTTTTATTTTTTGTTCAGAAGCGCGTGAAAGAGCGTGTCCCTGCACGCGCTCGTGGCGCTGACTGTGCTATGGCGACATTTTGTTTTCGTCGATTTCTTTGTATTTTCCCCGTGAGCGCGTGCTGTCGGCATCGGATACTACAGAGGGCGGCATCACCCTAAACAGAAGGACATTGAGGCACCCTAGGTATTACAAGCCTCTTGAACAAGAGCATGAATAGTGTTATTAAATAAGCTACGCTTCAGAGTAGCCACGCTTGGCCTTAGTATGGCTTAAAATTATGGTTGCCAGTTATTTGAAGCTTTATCTGAAATCACAAGAAACGCTTTTCCGTCCCCCACTTTAAACAGTTTGCGACAAAGCAAAGCAACATTACATGAGCTTCGTAACACCGAATCTAATGCTGACGATGTCGCACTTTTGAATCATGACGATCGGCAGTTGCGCCTGCTCTGCACAAGCACCAAAATGGCGGCGTTCACAACACTGTCGGGGAAGAGAGTGCCGATACTCTAAGCGCAGCTCATTTATTGGCTCTAGTTCCCGTGAAACTCCTTTTCCCTGACTGAAACTGAAAGTAAATACGAATAATACACCATTATTATAGCTTATTTAGTTATAACCAAATACACATAATGAGAGGAGGAAGCGGGCGGGTAGGAGAAACGCGGGTTTTATATGCGACCGTTCTAACCGCCTCAAAAGAGAGAACGCAAGAGCTTGCGCTGGTTTAGAAAAAAAAGGCATCCAAAGAAAAGAGGCGGCACACTGTGTTCTTTGTTATTACGCGTCTAATTGCAAATTGTTGTGTGTATGTTTATACAGCCGGAAGTTAGTCCGCCTTAGTGGGCGTCTGACTCTCAGCTGTAGATGAGCAATTTAGCCAGTGCGGTACAACCGAAAACCTGGGGTCTCCAACGTGCGCCACGCAGTAGTGATGCACGACCGCACGCCGGTACGATGCTCTTCCAGATCGAAACGGGCAGGGGCGGGGTGGGTTCTGCAGCGCGAGCTTTCGCTCCCAGTGCTCCGAGCTGGTGTGCGCTAGACCATGCACTCGGCAACCAGCCCCCCCTTGTGCGTCTAATTTATATACAGGTATAAGTATTTGAAGATCGACAATGGACGTCGATCGTCTCGAGGTAATGTAACGTAATAACATTATATAAATTATAAACTGGTTGAAGGACTGAACGACTTAATTTTTCAATTCTTGGATTGTAATGTGGCGGTAGCCTATTGTACTTACTGTTGATGAAGAGCAATATGAGGTGACGAGGTAATGATTAAATGATGAGGCTCTATAAGGACGACGACATTAATGGGTGTTCAACCACAACGTACAGTGCCAGACTTGTTTCAAGTATCGTGTACCCAAAGACTTTCTTCACCCGCAACAGTATATGGTAGAATCAATGAGGATGTTGCTTTACAACTGTACGTGGAACAGGAAAACTGCACTGTGCAGAAGCGCGGCTTATTCGTTAATATGAGGGACGGATTTCTAGCAGCATTCCCTGATTGACTACTTGAAACAAATGGCCTCGTTGACGTAAAGTGTCCCCGTTCCAAAAGATTCTTGAAGCATACTTAAACCGCAAAGGAGTATGAGGCGAAAAATAAGAAAAAGGAGTCTGGTGTGAAGGGTCCAGATCACCACCGTAGCTTCTACTATCAAATACAAGGGCAGTTACACAATACACAAAGAAAGGTTTGTGATTTAGTTATATTTACACTTAAGGGCATTGATATCCAACCTATTCAGAGAGATGACACCTCCTGGTCAACCAACATAGAGCCTTTTCTACTCAAGTTTTACATGGAAGGCCAGACTTCCGCTGAAATTCCTCACGTAGGCGAGTTGTCCGACCGAATAAACTGCCATTACTCCCGGTGTGGGTATCTCTCGATCTTTGTTCGTAAGCGATAGTATCATGAGATCGAGGGGTGTGGCTATTCTTCCGCCGAATATTGCTTCGGCGGGTTTTTTTCCGTGTAAGATGAGACCGACGCGTGCTGCCGGAACAAGAACCTGGCGATTCTTCACTGAACGGCTTCTTCCGTAAGCTTCAAAAGGAATTTTTTTTTTTTCGTTTCGCACACCATCTGTTCTGCTTGCCCGTTAGTTGCAGGATGGTATGGTGCATTAATGTGATGCCTGATGCCGTTTTTTTTTTTTCTTCAAAAACTTGTTTATTTTATTTGAAGCAAGATTTGGCGCGTTATCAGAGAAAAGTATTTTCGGTAGGGCAAATGTAGGTAAAAGAGACCGTAGAACGTCAATGACGTGTTTGGACGTCGTGGCAGACATCGTGTAAACTTCCAGCCACTTAGAGTACGCATCGTACATGACTCCGCAGATCTGGATACGTTTCGCCACCCACCGACTGAATAGTGGATCGTTTTCAGTTACTGTTCGAGTCTTTACACAAAGTTAGCCCAGACTTTTGTCGAAAGCGGTCAGTGTTCGAAACGTCGACAACGTCGGTAGCCACGTGTTGTGCTTGAAACTGGACACGTAACAATCGCTGAGAAGAAACTTGCTTGTTCGTCTGCCATGAGTCGTCCGATATCCGGTCATCACCACAACACCATCTCCCGACAAAACTGGTCTTGTCGGGAGATGGTGATTGCTAACCATGGTCCGCATGTCCATGGTTAGCAATCACGTCAACTTATAAATTCCCGAACGCTCATAACTTGCCGTCGCTAAACGCCGTTCATTCATAGCGTCTTCATTGCAAATAAACGTCTTCCTATTTCTTCTGATGGTTTCCCTAAGCTGTACTTAAAACATAATGTGTTTCGGTACTTCCGAAAATATTGCAACGGCGTTTGTTTTCCGGGAACTATAATGTAACAACCTTTACAACATCTTCCAGACCCCGTGAAACACAATATTTCGTGACGATAATTATTTTAGTCGTCATTAAAATGCTGAGGTAAGTACCGTAAATCGCGAAGCAGTTTACTCGACGTCCGCTTCCACTGGTTGAGTCTACTGAGCGTGCATTCCTGCAGAGGAAATTTTCATTGATAGAATATTGACACGTCAATCAACATTTGATTCCTTCTTGGTAAGATTTATTGCGAAAGCACGTTAAGGGGTATTCACACGAGGGAGAAATCCCGGGGATTTCTCCCCGGCACGCTCGCATCACGAGATGAAAACGCGAGGCTTTTGCACATCGCAAAGCCTGACGTTTTCGTCGTGGGATGCGCGTGTCAGGGAGAAATCCCCGGGATTTCTCCCTCGTGTGAATACCCCTTTACAACCGCCGACCGCATCTCCCTTTATCAGACAACAATTTATACCCAGCCTGACATTCTCGCATACATCCGTTTGCTGGGCCACGCTACTTGAGCTAGCTGAGCACAGCTGGCAGCGGCGCGAGCAAGGCCACGAGGGGAACGTGATGGTGCTCGAGCCATCCCACTGTGAACCAATGTTTCCGCCACCCCACGGGTGCGTGTCGCCATCTATTGGTTGAACTAACGCCTTGTTCAAGATGGCTGCCGTGGGACCGCAGCCTTAATGGATTCGACACAGCGCACAAGGAAATAATACGAAGTACCAGAAGGGGTACACAAAACAAGCGCTTACTCTCAACTGAAGTTTTTACTGTCAATAATAACGTCAGTTGAATGTAAGCGTTTGTCCTGTCTACCCCTTCTACTTCGTCGTTGTTTCTTGTGCGCTCTGCCGAATCAACTGGGTTTTACTAGTGTTCTGTTTGCACTGTAACAAATGCCCATGCGTCTACTGTCCCGCACAACAATCCGAGAGCCAATCATCGCAACTTTCGGAAGCAACTCAGCGAATGACGAATCCTGAACATTAGTTTAGACCAAAAAGCGCTCTCTGAGTTGTGACATTAAGCAATGCAAGCATGACATTTTGCAGTCATTAATGTCAAAACTCAGACTGCATTTCGGCACCGACATTCGGTGAGCTACTTCTCTAAATTCCGTGATTGGCTTTCCGAGTTCTGTGCGGGAAAGTAGACGCACGCGCAATTTTAGAGTGTGGCGCGCCCCCATGGCGGTCTGTAGCCTGTAAAAACAAGTTGGAGTGTGTATATGTTTATAGAGCATAAAACTTAGTCTGCCTCAACGGGCGATTTGTCTCCCAGCTGTAATTGAGAAATTTAGCCAGTGCAGTACAACCGCTGGCCTGGGGTCGTAATCGTGTCCCATGCAGTAGTGAAACACGACCGCACGCCGGTATGTGTTGCCTATACTGGCATGACTAAATGTTGGAGTGTTAGTTTATCTTTTTGGGAGTAGTGATATTCATATTGATATGCGTGTGAGTCCGAAGTAAATGACTTCGGAATGTGCCACGTCAACCCCTTAGGGACCCGGGCGAGGCACTGTGTTCGTACTCGGCGTCGAAGAAATAAAAATATAACGAAACTTTGCGTAGTACTTCGGCAACTCCTTTGGTATGCAGAATGCTGAAAACTGGGTTTTCTAATTTACAATAATTGTGCTGATCGGAACTAGAGGTTTGAATTTTTGTTTTGGGTAGAAACATTAGAGTTTATTGTTATCGTACCATACCTATAGATTTTTTTTTTTGCCTTTACGTTTTTCTAGTGTAACGCTTTTACCGTCCCGTTTGAAGAGTTTTGCATTGTTGCCATCTGCCGCTTTTATCCGTTTAATAAATTTGTTTGTTTTATCCCTTCATGCCGTTGCATCTTTTTATGACTTTATATCGAATGGAACCAACGTCCGTCACCGGCCTATCCTATCTCTTCTCTTGTTTTAACCAACTTTTGTTTTATATTGCTGTAATGGGACTCGGGACTAGCTCCAACAAGTGCTCAAGCTACTATCCCACCCGCTGTCCGTGTCACTGTCGACCTCTTCGAGCATCCGCGCTGTCCTGGAGCCGAGCCGCATTTCTTCAGACAGGCTGCCGCTGACACCGGGCGAGGGTGGCCGAATGCTGGGCTGCAGCCCGCCACCCGTCACCGCCATGGCTTCAGCGCTGGTCCCACGAGGACCAGAGTCTTCCACGTTGTTCGTCAGACCATCCGCGGTGGCGCCGTGCCCAATGACGCTGTTGTGAAGGGCACCCAGCGCGTAGTTTTCCGCCTTGCACCTCCAGTTGTTCCGTTCCGCCGTCATCTCCTCGAGTTCCCTTTCGAGTCGTGGTATACATAAGTGTGCCGTCTGCTGTCCGGCGGAGAGCACGACGCCGCAGCCGGGACGGCAGGTCACCAACCGGAAGGGGCACGTCCTGACGTGGCCGCCGATGTCGCGGCGCGGGCAGCGGTGCTCGCACGAGTCGTGCGGGCATGGCACCTCTTGGAACTTGCACACGACCATGTGCGCTGGATAGTTTTCCGCAGCAACTCTAGTGCTGCAGCCGGGGTTGCGGCACTTGACTGTGAGCTGACTGATCATGTTCCGGAGGAGAGGTAGGGTGGACACGAAAGTGGCTGCCGGGATTCGACACACGGGGCAGGTGCTGCTCTCCTCCAGCCACGTGCTGATGCAGCTCTTGCAGAAGACATGGCGGCACGGGCACTCGACGGGCTCTCGTAGCACCGAGCGGCAGATGACGCAGATGAGCTCTTTGCTCGGAGCAGGGTCGTAGTCCTCCAGAGTCAGCTCGGGGAAAGGCTGCTTCGTGACCATCCTTCAGAGGTCTGTGGGCTTTCAAACGTTTTGGTAGTCGGCAAGTCGCCGTCGAAGCAACTCAACGTCCTTAAGTCTTTCGAATTAAGCGTGAACTTCGTCCTCTTCAGCTTCGAACAGTAGCATATCCCACATCGCGTGGGGCGTATGCAGCTGCTGCAACCTTCTTTACACTACAGGATCATGCCGCTGTTTCTGGAGTGGCACTCCGATTTTGAAAGCTATAACTAGGGCTCCGTGTTTTCGGAGTTTATTCGTCGTGAATTTCGGAAGGTGTTTTTCGGAGTTTTTTTTTTAGCAAAAGTTTGGTGTTTATCGGAGTTTAGTTTTCGTAAATCTCCGATTCTCCAAAATTCGGAGATTAATTTCGCAGTGTTTCCTATTAAAAAAATAATATATAATAACCGGACGCAAACGTACGCCAGATGAAAAAAAAAATTAGCCTTTCCACTCTGGTGAAGAAGGAATACCAGCGAAGGTGTACTATAGTGGAAATAGAGCCACTAAATAAGCTGCGCTTAGAGTATCGGCACTCCGTTCCCCGACATTGTTGTGGGCGCCGCCATTTTGGCTCGCATGCAGAACAGACGCAACGGCCGATCGTCATGATTCAAAAGTGCGACTTCCTCAGCATTAGATTCGGTGTTAGGAAGGTCATGTAATATTGCTTTGCTCTGTCGCGAACTGTTTAAAGGGGCGGTGCAACAATTTGCGGACTTTGGCTAATTAATTGCGGGAATTGATCCCGGCCACATATAAAACGAAGGACCGAAAACTATTCTTTCCTGCTTGCCCTAGTTTTAATTTAAAAAAAAAACAAAAGAAATTGGTATCTCTGGCACCCCTCAACTCAGCATTGAAGCGCCACCAGCCTCGCCTGTGACGTCATTCGGAGTGGCGTTAATTTCCGGTTGGGTGCTTCTGGCTTCCGTTTCCCCAGCGCTCGCCGGCTCGCCAGGCTCGCCGCTCTCCCGCTTTTCTGTCGATTCCCGACCAACATGGCGGCATGGGCGGACGGCCTGAGCGACGTCGAGCGCAAGATGCTTGCGTATAGTAAGTCAGTTGGACTTGTGCGGCGGGCAGTCAAAGTCGAGGTCGAGACACCAGGAACAATAACGATACCACGATACTACGGACCGCGACCAACGCACTCCGTCGAGCGAGGGAAAGACAAAACGTCCGGGTTGCTCGAGTAGCCGCCGTAGGCGCCTCAGGCGTCGACGGATGTCGGCGACGGCAGGTTTGATTGACTTGCGGTAGATGGCGCCACAAATCTTTTAGCGGCAATATTAGGCTTTTGAAGCGTTTCTGCATGCCTAAACAACAAGATTTTCTAAACTTAACCATAAATCAAGCTTACAATTGCCTAACACTATCACTTACAAAAACCACTCCGAATGACGTCACACCACAGGTTCCATTTGCGGCCACCATGTGGACGCAGGTTGGGGAAAAAAGTGTTTTTTATTTTGCGATTACGCAGCGAAATAGAGGTATTTTGGTGTATGGTGGCACTTTTTCCCTCACTTATACTGACGTAATCAATATAAAAAATACAAGCTGCACATTCTTTCAGTGTTAAAATCATTGCACCGCCCCTTTAAACATTTGTTAGGGCGGAAAAGCATTTCCTGTGATTTCAGATAAAGCTTCAGATAACTGGCAACCATCATTTTAAGACACAATATGCCCAAGAGTCGTTACTCTGAAGCGTAGCTTATTTAGTGGCACTAGCTTAGGATATCGGCACTCTGCTCCTCGACATTGTTGAGGTTGCGCCATTTTGGTGCTTGTGCAAAGCAGAAGCAACTGTCGATCGTCATGATTCAAAAGTGCGACTTCTTCAATATTAAATTCGCTGGTAGGAAGCTAATGTAATATTGCTTTTCTCTATCGCGAACTGTTTAAATATTTGTTGAGGAGAAAAAAACGTTTTATGTTATTCTAATTAAACTCTAAGATAACTGGCAACCGTGATTTTAAGCCACAATATGGCCAAGTATCGTTACTCTGAAGCGTAGCTTATTTAGTAGCACTAGGTAGCCCGTGGAACGCGAGAAGCACGAGCGGACGTTCCATAGCTCGGGACAAGTGTGTTTCTGCGTCTCGCCGCAGCGGGGCGCCCGTTACATGCCTCTGGCAGAGCCGTTTATACTGAGAGAGTTTGGCCGATGGGCGGAGCTTGTTGGCCGCTAGAACCAGCGGATTTCGCGATAACACAATATGGCGTTACTTCTTTGTCTTGTTCATTCCTGTGAAATCGCGTAGAGTTCCTATGAGTCAGATCCACAATATGGCGGACGGAAGTAGTCATCCCCCGGTTGTCAGACTACGCTGCTGTGGTTGTCAGACTGCCAAAATCTCCTTAAGAAGGCCAAACTCTCTCAGTATAAACGGCTCTGGCCTCTGGTAAAGCCCCTCGATGTGTTTGCGCTCGTCTTGCAAGTAGCGTCAAATGCGCGAGTGCACGAGGCCCATGTCTCGAGCGGCCCTTGGAAGCAAATGGCGGCGCAGCACTGAAATGAGCGGGCCTTGGAAGCGAATGGCGGCGGAGCACCCGCTCATGGCACGTGTCTCGAGCGCTTCCACAACAATGGTTGGCGGTACTTGTAAAAAACGCTTTTATCAAGGGGCTTTAGCCTCTGGTAAAGCCCCTTGTAGGGTGCCTACATGTCTGTCTGTCTCAGGGTGAAGACATCCATTGTTGCCCTGAATGTGCCAGCGTGTGACGCTCTCGCGCACTCGGTGCGTGACTTGGGCGGTAAAGTGGCGTCTATGCATTAACCAAAACTACGCGCTCGAGCTGAGTGACACCGGATTGCGCGCACTTCAAAACGCATAAAAAAAACGATTGGGCGGAAAAATGGCTGAGATATCACCACTCAAGCAAAAGCGTGCGTGTGTATGAAGGCACTCTATCGCCTCTTGTTTGCCGCTTTACCTTTTCACTTTCAGCGGCCTCGTCTCGTGGCGACCTGCCAGCCTTTGTTAATATAGAGGAGGTTATACCAATTGGCGACGTGCGCGACCGAAAGCGTCGCTGTGGTCGGCCTTTCACGATTGGCCCAAAAGCTGACTATGACGTCGGAAAGGGTATACCATCGACGCAAATAAGAAGAATGAAGGAACTTTAATTTCGACGGTGTTGGCAGTGTTCCTTTGAGAGCGCAATGATTTCAGGCCTCCACCCTGCTATTTAGAAACACCATCGAACTTGTTGTTCGCAAGGTAATGACGTCACAAGGGGGAACCATAGGAGGGCGCCACCAAAACATCTCGCCGCTAATGGGCACTAGCACACGAAGCTTGCGCATAAATGTCGCCTTTACAGGCTTGCAATTGTATGTGCTCTCCCGCACGTGCAGCGACATGGCGGCGGCCAGATGCCTTGCTTGCGATTTGCCAACACTGCGTTTTACATTTATGGGGAATGCAGGTGATCAATCGCCGGCGAGCCCTTGCAATACCACCTAGAACACAAGGCCTGCACGTTTCCTCCTCTAAACGTCATCACTTGTAGATCCCCTCAGCGCCCCGTATAGGTTGCCCGGATGAGCACCATCGTCTGCTACATTGTCTGCGACGTCGTCTGCTCCATCGCCTGCTTCAGTGGTTTGTGTAGCAGAGAATGAAACAGATGCTCACGCTGAGTGTATGTTGTTATAGCATACGATGAAGTGAAACGTTCACGTCGAGCGTCAAATGCATGAGTGAAAATGCCTTACTGCTGTGCGAAGGGCTGCAAAGCCCTTCGCTTGACGCTGGGTGCTCGCACCAACGTTACTGGAGCAAGCTCAGTTTCACAGCTTCGCCTGCGACGTGGGCTCAGTGGCGGTCACGAGTACTAGCAGCGCTGCAATCGATTCTTACTTCCGGATTGTCTAGCCCGCCAAGTTTGAATAGAAATACTTGAACTTAGGCGAGTTGGTGATTCATACTAACACATACGCGTACGCACACAAAAGTAAATTTCAGTCACTCAAATAAAGAACACTCACAATGCGCTGACTTTGATCTCTGTGGTGTATTACACGTCATTTTCATCATCTTTGTTTGCTATTATACACATGGAAGTAAAGAAACGAAAGAAAAGAAAAAGAAAAGGAAGCTAGCTCTCAAAGCGGTAACACCGTAACGCGGTGGTAGTAGACGACGCGCGAGACAGGGAAGTAAGATCCGACTGCAGCGCCGCTAGTTCTCGTGACCGCCACTTGGGCCACTCGCCTCTGCAGGCCAGAATACGGAGCTGCGAAACTGAGCTTGATCCAGTAACGTTGGCTGGCACTGGACGTCATTTCTGAGGGCGCTATTTATACTCCGTTCAGGCAATGCAGCCAACGCCACAAGCGCGAGAACTCGAGGTCACTGTTGTGAAGCGTTCTTCTGCACAACGAGCGCGCGCGCTAGAAATGGCCGTCGCAAAGCCAGGAGCGCGTGCTAGGTCGCACTCCTGGCCGAGGGAGGGTTTTGCATGCACGTTGCAAATGAACTAGAACCTCGCTATTAGCTCCTGTTCAGCAGTCGCGCACAGAGCTGTGTCTGCTAGAGTCACTAAATAAAGCTACGCTTTCAGAGCACCGAAACTCCAAAACTACGCGTCTGAAGCGCGTCAGGCGCCGCCATCTTAGGTCCACGCGCAGATAGAGGAGCGACTCTAGTTGAGCCAAGCCGAGCTGTAGCCGTCGCCTGCGCCATCTGCCGTAACCGCAGCTGTAGCAGCGAACCAAGGTAGTGTTGTTCGTATCTCGACGTAACATGGAAAACGCGCGTGCTGGGCGGCGGACTTCAGCGTGCGAGCGCAGTAAACAGTAAACAGCACCAGGCAGAGGACCGCTCGATCCAAGATGGTGGCGTTGAGAAAACGAGATGATGATGATAGCAGCTCACGTGACTGGCTCTGTCCAATGATGCCGCCGCGAACCAGAATATTGTTGAATAGAGCGACGGCATTGTCGGCAAAACGCCAAAGAAAAGAAATACGGTACTCTGAAAGCTTGGCT